CTTAAAGTATCGGGTTCTGAAGATTCATTCTGGTAATCATGCACGGGTTCACAAAAATCAAAAGCTCCCAACCATAATGTAGCGCTCCATAAGGGCAACATGACGCTTGAATTACGTAGGCCATTGTTTGCCGTTCGAGATGTCCTCCCAGACGCCCAAAAGTGCGATGCCCTAATGTCCTTGAAACAGAAAAAAACTAATTTTAGTCTTGAAAACAACTCTGGGAGAAAAGTCATTTCTTTTCTAATTAAGAGGTCTCATGCAATGAGACGTAAAAGGAACGTTCAGGAATATTCTTCCTGGCAGTGAGCAAAGCGGTAGAGTGCAACTGGAGAGGGGGAGAGACCTACCGGTGGCAACGACAACGAGAGTTTGATGAAAAAAAAATGCGTCGGGGATTTTAAGACAGAACAGTAAAGAAGGGCTAAGAAATTGCATCTGGGGAAAAAGCGCGTCATTCTCGTTAGATGAGGCTTCTGGTACAAAAGTTCGCGCGGATTACGGTAATCCCCCATTCTGCAAAAGCTGCCATTTAAAGACAAAAACGTGCTGTTTCTTCGCTAAGCCTACGGATTCTCCAAATGTCAGACTGAACTTTACGCCATAAGATGAGCGAAAAATGACGACCACAGAGGTGATGAGGATTCCCCCCAACCCGGAAGTGGAAGGTGAGCTTCGGAGAGTTAGAACCAGCTTCTTTAGAAGCTTTGCCTGGATTTCCACCTCATTAGAATAGCGCCAGGAAAGGGACAACAAGCGCAGATTCCTGTGGACTGAGCCCTAGATGTCAAATATTTCCGTGAGCGTTCAGTTCTCGGTTAGGATAATTGCAGCACAAGCACCGATCACCGGGAGTCATTACAGCTTAGCAGGAAGTTCTGCAGAGAACGGAGCCATTAGTTGACTGAAAGCCATCCAGCCAGGATAGCTGTCAGTGGGCCGAAGAATGAATTATGTTGACGGGCATGATTAGTTGAGGACATTCCGAGAACCCGGCGGCATTATGAAAATTAGCGCAATATTATGAATTACCATGGGACATTATTGTCAGGCTTGTCGTTCACTGGTACTCGCCCCTCCGGACTCCACTTTTTGAAAGAATCAGCGATTCAATAAGTTTCAATTTGGCCTATGTTTGGCGTTCATGGGGAGCCTCTAGGGAAAAGGGTCTACCGCCGCGGTTCGGCTTGGTGGGGACATCAAGCGGGTTGTTGTCGGTCACAGCCGATGCCTCCCGTGGAAACTTGTAATCTCCTGCAAAGCTAATCAAAAGCACGAGTTTCGGAGCAAAGCAAGCTGCAAAATGCCCCCGCCCCCCCCGCTCCCCCCAAAACAAATCAGGTCCATCATCACTACATGAGCGATAATACGCAATTCCGACGTTAGAATGAATGTCAGGCCATTCCAGTATCTGAGGGTGGTCGATTACTGATTACCGATCAGTTTTAACTCTCTGTCCGAGCCCATGTTTGAACATAAGGATTCTGACAATTACGTGACAGTATGTTGAGATTGTGGGGAGATGGCCGGATGTAGGTTCATTTTTCAAGCGTCGGTGTTAGGTCATTTCATTTTTTCAACGTTATTTTTGTCGTTTCAAAATGGTTTTATGTAGAGAATACGACAGTATTTTATAATGCTGTTCTGCCCCCAGGAAGGAGTGCTTTCGCAGTTCAGAAAAGTTGAGTAAGATAGTGGGATAGTGTGGGGGGGGGGATGGAAGTGCAACGCACGTCTGCATCATCTCGCGCGGTGCTACTTTTAGCGCAGTGCTACCTCATCGTTCCAAAGTTGGCTTGTTGCGCCCTGTCTTGTCATCCCCCTCCCCCCCCCCCCACCCTTCCTCACTGACCATGACTGCTGCAGGATCCTTCTTCAGAAAAACAAGGTGAACTCGTTTGCGACCAAATCTTATGTGAGTAACACTCGCGCACTTTTGATAACCCATCTCGCTGTGTGATGCTCACTGGGCCTGCTCTAAACGCTTGGTAAGAAATTTGGACGTTCGTCAATGAGATCGAGTCCCCCTTCTTCAACTTGTCGTGTTGTTATTTCAGCAGCGGGCCCCCTTTTCGACTGACACCCCTTATTTCCATGTTTTTTTTTTTCTCGAAACCTTGCTGTCAAGCGAGAGGAAGGGCTACAGATGCGCGTAAATTGGGAAAATCGAAAGGGTCTCTCGAGACATGAAAAATCCTTTGCCTGAGAGTATGGCCCCTCCCTTTGCGGTTTCTACAGCGATGATGTGCCCTTGTGATGACTCTTACCGTATTACAAACAAGCAAATCGGATGTATGGTTGTGGATACGGTACGACATGATCAGATGAACCCTCCCTGAAATTAACCTTTCTTCTCCCATGTTTTACCCCTGTACGGGACCAAATGGCAGACTAAGCAGTAAAAGTATCTGAAATGCATAGCAGTTGCCGCCGACGGCGAGGCTCATCAAAGCTCAGGCAGCAATCCCCAATTGAACCTAGGGGGGCACAAGTGGTAATAACCTATGTCATATTGCTCCCACCTCTAGATGAAGCTGTAATAAGCGCACCTGAGAAAACAACAACAAAAATCAAAGAAAACCGGGCATGAAGGGCTCTTTAGGCGAGGCGATCCTTTGAGGAAATCGTCTTCGAGACTCAACACAGGGTCTGGGCTGGCATCCTTGGCCAAATTTGGCTCTTTTGCCCCGTGGGGAGCAAAGAGTAGCGGCGTCTGCAGGGATGCGCCATGATGTCAGTTATAAGCGACACCTCATAGCATTCATAGTTGCAGTCTATGTATTTTTTGGCATTCTTCTGATGAGAGTACGACACAATTTTTGAAATCAGTTAAAGGTTTCACTCCTGAGCCCCTTCTCCTGGTGCTCTCGGCTTCTCAAGTTGATTGGGCGCTTCTTCGGGTGGTTTAGGTGGCTCGAAATATTGGAAATCCTTTTGATTGGGATCTTTCTTTAACGATGGAGGCTGTAAAAGTGAACAATTTAAGGACATCAATATGAGATTCTTTCTACAGGGTATGAGCCATGCTTTTGGAACACATTTAGATTAATACTTCATTATGAAAAACGCTGTGGACCACAAAAGAACCAGTGAAAAATCAATGAACTTCCAAGTCATATTCTTTTTGCTACCGAATTCGGTTCACTTTGGTACTTGCTGCGGGGCGGACACAGGGCACCCGATTGATCGCCGAGACTGTGTTCATACTTCGCGACTCCAGCGATTTACAGCGATTTACACGCGCGACTGTGACTGGCTACGCTCTGCCGCTAACCGTTCCACCTTCTCGCGCGCGGAAAGAAAATTCACTAGGGCCAGACAGGACCCACCCCTCCCCCCCCGCGATTACGACCCCTCCCACTGAGAGTCTCCCACCGCAGCAACACAGCGATAGGCCTTCGAACGGTCTCGACAGCTGTCGCGTGTTTTTCAAATCGCGCACTGTACGGAAGTTTGAACTTGAGTAAGCGTTGGAGAGCGTTGGGGAAAGGCCAGGACCCATCAGAAAAACTCCACGCTAATCGCGTTTTGGGGTGTGTTTAAGAGGGAGGAGGGGGGGGGGAGTCAAGTATTCCATTGCATTTTCCTCACTGACGCACCCCGCATCTTTCTGATTCAATTTGATTGAGAGCAAGGAGTTTGAGGAACAATGAGAAACATATTATTGATGTGAACTGTGAACAGAGGGAAATCAGGGTTGAAACAGAATCTTTCAGCGGTCTGCATTCGATTAATGTATCTCAGAAAAATTCGAACTAGTTGTGAGATAGGAGGTATTTCAAAGAGCAGAATTTAATGAAAATTGGAAACGGAACAAATAAGGCCTCACCTTCGGTTCCTGTTGTGCTGCATCCGGAATGGCCTCTTTAGAGGGAGTCTTCTGCTTGTCGCTGAAAAGTGAACATTCAGTACCTAATATGCGATTCATTCTTGGAAGCTGTTCTGCTTGAAAGAGCGTTTATCGTTTTAACTAGTTGCTTTTCCTAAATCTTTACACTCTGGTGGAACCTGTAAATCTCTGTGAAGCCACAAAATGATTTACGCGGGTCACTCACAGAGTACAGGTATTCGCGAAGTGACCCGAACGTTCCGCTGGTATCATGAGGTGCCCCCTCCAAGCCAAACCGCACCTTATCCGTGTTTACAACGGGAATCTCTCTCGATTGTCCGTTTTCTTCTAGCCTCAGATGGAAAGCTCCGAGATACTGAAGGCTCTAAAACTCGTCACTTACGATTAGTTTCCTGAGAGAGGTCTCGAGGAGGCATCCTTTCCACCCTCTCAGCAAATGAAGGGAAGCTTGCCGGTTGTCGGAATACCGCTCGGCATATGAACCAACCCGAATATATATAGGGCGATAAAAAAGGACAGAGCTTCCACCGTTGATCAATCCCATGTTGAAATGTCAGTGACTTTTTTATCCTCCTAGGCGATTCCGGTAACCATTAGCCTGCCCAAGATTGTTAGAATACTTGGTTGTCCCGGTCGGAATCATAGATTTCACCTCGGATCGTCTCTGTGGTGAGCCTGCCGTTTGCTACCACACCACCCCACCTCCGCCTCGAGAGATAGGACAGCGACACCAACGCCCTGGGAAACTGGGTCAGCTTCTTCCGCCACATCAAGTAGGAAAGTACGTACCCTTCCGTTTCTTCACCAGATGCTTTCCCTGGAGCGGAAACTTCTTGAGACTCCTTAGAACCCTTCTTGTCTCCTTTTTTCTTCGCTTCACTGGACTTCTTCTTCTTCTTTTTCTTACCTTCCGCGGACTTTTTTACGCCCTCCTTGGATCCTGTAATTTATGTCCTATGCAGTGACTCCGTGCTGGTCTCCTTCACGAAAATGCTAGACATGCTTGAACGCGACGCGGCGTTACCACTGCCGCACGACCGCCGCGCGCGACGTCGCTATGGCCACATCGCCGCGATGTGTCCCCAATATCGCAAATGGACCGCAAACGGCATAAGATAGCTTAGTCCCAGTTGTCATGTGGAGGAGGCGGAGAAAGGTTTCACTCCTTTCTCCGCCTCCTCCACATGACAACTAGCAAACATCAAAAAGTACGAGCTGATATTTTTTGACAGAAGACGCGAGTTTGAAGCTCGAATTTTCGGAAAATTGTCCCCTCTGAATTCAACTGATATTCGGGTCACCTTTACCTTCTTTAGGCTGTCCGAAATTTCCAATGCGTGTATTCCCTAAATCTTTCAACGATGGGTGGGCAGGATATTGATAGCAGAACACACCAATAACTATAAGACTGATAAAGAAGACTGCAGAAGACATTGCCTAAATTGTTAAAATTCAGAAACGAAATTGGCGGAGCTTGGCTAGGGAGCATTCTGCACTTTCGCTGCTTCCCCGTTGTCGTGATCATTGCTTTACAAGAGCTTACAGGTGTTCTTCATTAGAGTTGACAAGTATTTACAAACTTCGACTGGTTCACAGGTCTCTACTTGTTAGCCCGACACGATAACGGGGAAGCAACAACAGTGCGAAATGCCCCCTCCCCCCCCCCCAAACCGAACTGCACCGATTAAGCTTTCGGCATCAATCAGTTTTCGCCATGCATTAGCTTTTACTCGAAATCGAGGTGTTAATTTACACACATAATGACTTGTAGGGGGCAACTCATGAGCAAATAACTTTGTACTCCCAGGGCTGGGCGGAGCCTCGTCTAACATTATGGATTCCTCGCTGCTCCTCCATATAAGGCGCACTATACGCTGATCGTTGGGGCGGAGACAGTCACACAGTGTGTGTCTCTCTCATTGTTACATCGTTCCTTCTGATTCAGGAGAGCGGAGGAGTGCGCTAACTGCTAAAGGTAAACAGATGGCTGTCTCCGCCCAAAGGCGCAGCGTGGTTTGTTTGCTGAACCAGAAAAAAAATCGAGTCCTTACGGCTCCTCCTCGTATGGCTCTCGAGTATCCACCCGGATAATCGGGAGCGTGGTGAAACCATAAAGCTGCAGCGGCACCAATATTGAAAATAGAGTTGAAAACCATGACTGTGACTATCTGAACGATTGCACATTAAGACCCTTAAAGCCTACTCACGCTGACACACGCACGCACGCGGCACACGCTTGACACGCTAACGCTCAAGTCTTGGATTTCCTGCTTCTATTCTTGGCGAGCAATCAGCTATCGCCCGTTTCTCCTTACTGTCGCCACTGATAACGCCTTTGATATCGATCGGATTGACAACAGCGCTCGCCGAAAATGGTCGCGGCATGAGGCGTCGTTCAGGCTTCGTGATGACATGCGTCGACACGTCATCGCGAAGTCTGAACGCTGCTAAAATTGCGCCATACTTTGCGGCAGCGTCCACCAGAGTCAGCAGAGTTTCAAGTGTCGGTCAGCCTCACTTAGGACAGTATAGATATTGATGCGGACGGCAGCGTCTACCAGCGTCCAGTGGCGATCAGTAATAGAAAGTATGGGGAAGTAGGAGGGAGCAGACAGCTGGATTAGACGTCGCTAAATTGCGGTGTGTGCAATCGCACCGTACTACTGC